CTGAAAACTCATGAACTTTTAAACGTTCCAGTGCATTCCCCCAGAAAAAAAGAGGGAGAGACTTCCCTAAGGGAACGCCCTGCCTGGCTAAAGAGAGACACGAGGGAATTGGGTGGGTTCCACAGTGTCTCCAGTGCCCCAAAGTTTCTCCAGTGCATTTGTTAAAACATGTAAAGGCAGGCGTGTGCACATAAACAATACATTTTCTTCACCCATCTCCTGCCTGATGCCAGGCAGTGTTGGTAGCTGGAGAACAGACGGGGCCATCCTGGGGGATAGAGCCAGCTGCAGGTCAGTGGGAGCCCTTCCCCACCTCGCTCATGCCAGCTGCTCCGTGCCTGCCTATCATGCGGCACTGACGGTGACAATGAGTTGGGTAGTGGGAGGGGAAGAGGTCTGGGCCCTGCCCCACTCCCCCCAGACCAGTGATTTTGGGGATCCATCCTAGAGTTATCCCCAGGACCCCAGCATCACTAAGACCACCCCTGATCACATATATATTTCAAGGAAGCACTACACTCTGAGAACAACTTGCCAGAGCAAGGTGCCTTTGGCAGCTTTCCCATGGAAAACGGGATTGCACATTAGATTGACTTCCATAGAATGATGTCCTTTCCCACAGAGAGAGGGAGGGGGGAGAGAGAGAGAATCTCATAAGACAGATAACCCTGCTGGAGGAAAGCTGAGCTGAACTGAAAGCACTCAGTAGAGTGAGATCCCATCTAGATCAAGGACTGTAAACCTGCCTGTGTTTGTGCATAACAATGCAATCCTATGCAGAGTTGCTACATTAAGGCCACTGATTTCACTGGGTTTAGACTAGAATAACTGTGCATGGAACTGCACTGTAAGTAACATAGAGTTGCCAACTAACTGGTTCTTAGTCTGATCTGGGTGGGGAGGACGGTTTAGCATTTAGGACCCATTGCCAGAGGAGGTTTCTTTTGCTAATTGGATATTCATTTCCCTGCCTCTGCTGTACCTTTGCCAATTTGCTTAAAGCCTTAAGCATTTAGCACAGGTGTGGATTCTACACACATATGTACTAGAGCCAGTTTGGTGTAGTGGTTAGGAGTGCAGACTCTAATCTGGGAGAACCAGGTTTGATTCCTCACTCCTCCACATGCAGCTGCTGGTGTGACCTTGGGTTAGTTACAAATTCTCTCAGAGCTGCTCTTTCATGAGCAGTTCTCAAAAGAGCTCTTTCAATCCCACCTACCTCACAAGGTGTCTGTTGTAGAGGGGAAGGGAAAAGAGATTGTAGTTTGAAAAGTACTGAGACTGATGAGTGATTACAGCTCTCATACTTTTATTAGTGCAGAACAAGACAACTTTAGCCTGCTCGCAGGCTGGCTTATATTTCGTGAAAACCACAGCCCAAAACACACCCCTACACCGTAATAGGCTATTTACAGTGGCCGAGAGTTCCATGGGCTCTTGGTCAGGAGCCTAGACCTCAGATTGGTGTGGGCTAGGATCCGTTTAGTCCATTGTTCACTGGAGCGAAGCTCTGAGGTTTAGCAGGACCATGTGGAACCCCCGGGTGCCATGCGGTCGGGACTGACTACATTACATAGTTGCTCTGAGACTCCTCCTCCTCTTCTTCTCTAAGCAATAGGAGTAAGGGATGTCCCACTTGAGGAAGCTTAAAAAAAATCTCAGTGAGGTGTGTGATACCAATTATACTAGGATACAACATTAATGTGGCATTTGTGTATACCATCCCTGCCATTTATGAGTTGCTTTTTGGAGTTATGGAACAGCTCTTCATTTCCAGGACTATTTCTATAAATATTAAACAGTGCATGCTTCCCTCAGAGAAGGAATGGTTGGTAAGCCTATTCACTCAGAAGAGTGGGCAGTCGCCAACAATGTGTCAAAAGCGAACCAGTACATGCCTGTGCACGAAAGAGAGACACATAGTATGTCCATTCATTTGTGTGATATCACAGGTTCCTGTGTGTCTACATCCCTGTTCACAAGTTAGCATGAAAGCATATTCAGTCCATATACAGTGCACAAATATCTGTGGAGTAATTCTCCTACACAGGGGTCATTTCCTGTGGGAGCGCACAAGAGCGGAGTTCCGGCAGTAAGGAGCCCAGGGGGCGGGCACCAGTGTTCCCTCTAAGCTGAGTTAGTGTGAGCTAGCTCACAGTTTGTTAGCCTCCGGCTCACACATTTGTGTCTTCGCTCAGGAAGGAGGGCTGGAGAGCAAACTAACTTATGCAGCAGCCAAATCGCTCTTTTTCTACGAAATAACCCCTGCTCCTGCAGCTGAATGTGTGGTATAAACTGCACATTTATCCAGGTACTAGTCCCTGAGTTCAATTGCAATGTGAACTCTTTCTTACAAACAGATGGCTTTCTCTTAAAAACAGATGTATGCCTGTACATGCAAGATTCACCATAATGCATAAACAAGGCTGTGGAAGAAGGTATAAGAATATGTGTGAAATCAATTTAAAAACAATTTTGTCTTGCTCAGTATATTTCGTCTTCTTCATAAACTGGGTTCGGTAACAATCACACTGCTCTTCCAAAGATGCGCACATGACTTAATTAGTCAGAGCTGTTTGCTAAGTAACAGCCACTCACCTTAACAAGTCATTTGATAGTTACAGAAATCAATGTTGTGTTCTGAATTAGCCATTACTGCTCAAGAAAGAAATATTGGAAGCAATTGACAGCGATCCAGCAGAACTCTGAGCGCATAGTTTTCACTGTCAATATGAAACTGCAAGCACTGTCTTTTGCACAGGATACACATGGATGTTTACCATTCTATATAGACAACAGTTAGAGATCATTTCAAATATATTTGCACAGGATACACATGGATGTAGACAACAGTTAGAGATCATTTCAAATATCTCATCCCTGTCCTTTTGACTCAAGTATCTCCATATCAGTTTTGAAATTTGGGTCTCTATTTTTGTGTCATTTTCTGTTTTCTCATGCTGATTCTTTCTAGTGAATTTGTGTGATTTATAATGTGATTTATGGCCTATCAGTGGTGTGTAGCATATTGGCAGTGGGGGAAAAAAATCAACACATTTATTTCACCAGCCACAAATATGGCTGAAACAAAAAAACTCATAACTGTAACATATGTTTCTGGCTTATGCCCTTTGTAGGAGCAACTCTCTTTGACAAATAGATATACACTGGCATACACATGGGTTTTCCAAATATCCCCCATCTGTTTCAGGTTGGGAAGATGGAACCAGTAGAACACTGAAGCCCCTTCTCCGCATGTGCCATGGTCTCAACATGAATTGGTCATCCCATGCAAGGAAATTGAGGAGAATCCACAATTCACACCTGACTATTACACAGTCCCAACCTGTGTACTCTGTAACATGAACTGGATATGTTCAGTAAATATTTTCAGTGGCTTGATAAATTCATTTGCATCTGTATCTGCCCTTGCTGCTCAGGGCTGCCTCGTAACCTCTCCCATTCTGGCCTTCCCCAAGTTCGAGCTCAGCCTCGTCTTCTGACCACCCCCCTCCCCACATCCCCTGCTTTGACTCACGAATGCTTATACCCCGGAAAATTCTAAGGTGCTACTGGACTTGAATGTTGATCTGTTCACGCCATTACGGGTTTTGCAACTAAAGTGTTTCTGTACTTGGAGGAACTGCCTTTCTGTCTGAGTAGTGCTACCTTGTTTAAGACAGATGGTATCCATGTTTTGCTTATCTGCTGACACTCGTCTGCCTACCCCATCCTCCAAACCAGTTTACTACATTCTCAAATGCTGAGACTAGGAATGCAAAGTGATTCCTTGAAAGATTAAGTGGGAAAAAGTCCTGTCTTACATTGTCCGTATATTTTCATCTGCCCAAGGTCTTGCCATTTTACATCCAGTTCATTTCTAGACAGTTCAGATTGACTGCTTCTTGGGATTTTAGTGTAAGATCACTCAGACTGATATTGTTGCTAGTAATTTAATTCAAAAGCAATAGCAGCTAAGCATGTGAACTAGAAAGCATGGCATTACAATGTGCGATCTATGCATTTCATTGCAGAACATGATATGTGTGACTAGGAGCATGAAATATGGTTGTCTATTTCTCCAGACACACATATTAAAATATTTATAGTGAAGACTTCTGGGGACTTTCCTGTTCTACAGATTAATGCCAGCTTCTATACATAGAGCTGAGCCATTTCCCATAGTCCCACTCTTTGCAAACCTCCATTGTAGTCAGATATTCAGCAGTTCTTTGGCATCAGAGATGTTTAAATACTAAACATCACAATAAATTCATTGCACCATAACTCTGTTCATCTTTGTAGCTCCATTATTGCTATTTTGTTTGGAAGAAATGTAACACAATATTTAGACATATTGCTAATTAATCCTGTATATAATAGCATTTTCGCATGGCAACGTTCTATGCGCGGCAAAATCAGGTGGCTCCCTGATGTGTCACTCACCAGGGGCCTGTAGCCACTGGCTGCATTGCCCTGCTGCATCACCTCACTCCCGCCCACAGAACCAGCACCCAGCATCTTGTCCTCAGTCTGCAGTGAGCTGCCGGAGGGGATGGATGCCCCGGCGGGCGAAGGCGTGGGATGCCCAGGCCACTCCTGCCGGTGCTGCGGCAGTTGTTGTCGGCCGAGGCTGACTTCAGGTAGCCAGCTGCCCTGTGACCAGACGGCACCCAGTGCGCTGCTGGGGCGGAGGGCACTGGAGGCGGTCTGTGGGCTGCTGCCACCAGGCTGGGCAGGGAGCTGAAGCCACCCGGCTGAAAGTGCCGAGTCCAGAGGGTGGGCAAAAGGAGGAGGAGGCGGCGATGGCAGAAGCCCTGCCCCAGGCCGGCTGTGCGCAGGGCTGCTGTAGCGGCAGTGGCACTTCCCAGGAGCCTCCGGGGAGGGCTCAGGGGCGCGCTCAGCTCCTCAGCAATGAAGTCACCGGAACACCATGGGAGTCCCAGCAAGCAGGCAGGATGGATGAGTTGCCCTGTGGGGAACTTCTCCACCCTGAATGCCTAGCCCACACTCATGCCTGCCATGCAGCTCTCCTGCGGCGCTGAGTGACTGTATTTCTTGCAGCGATGCTTCGCTTGGACACTCATGCCCACCATGCAGCTCTCCTGCGGCGCTAAGCAACTGTATTTCTTGCAGCTATGCTTCGCTTGGCTTGGCTGCCTCCTGCTCCAAGCCCAAGACCTTCTAGGAGCACAGCCAGAGAGAGCAGGGGACCAGGCTGAGGAGATGCCCTGCTGAGCCTCCAGGGTGGCCCTTCGCAGCCTCCGTGAGCCATGTTTTCACAAACACCCCCTCCAGCGGCTGCTCCTCGAGACCGGGTACAAAGTGGGGGAACGGGGGGGATGTCTCACCTCTTTGTAGCACTCGTATTTTTTCTACAATGGGCCTTGCTCCTAGTTATATATAATTATGTGTAAATGTATCTTTATGTCAGAATGTCTTGCAGATTGCAAGCATTTTCCTCATTTAGTGTCTCCTAAATTTCTGATAGCTGAAGTGTGTTTATTTCTTGTGTTAAAGTAAGAGGCATAGTCTACTTTTATCCCATAGAAGGTTCATTTTTAGAGTCCACAAGAATGACCTGTCTTTGTGTTTTTGTGTGAGTCACTGATCTCAGTATGACAATGACTCATTCAGAGAAACAATGGGCAACCTCCTCTGTAAGTAATCTTCCTGGGTGTCTCTCTCAGTAACTATTTGACCTTCCGATCTTTCCTGAACTGCAATCCTAAGAACATTTTCCTGGGAGTAAGCCACAGTGAATGAAATTGGACTTACTTCTGAGCAGACCTTCCTAGGCTTTCCCTTCCCAACCTAAACCAGCCTAGGTTGATTTGAAAGATTCAAGGTCAGAGTGCTACATTGTGTCGTGAGATGACATGCTGTCTTCTCTTGGGATGTACAGATGCGTCCTTTTTCATTTCTTTGTTTTTGTAGATTATTGTTGTGACCTTTTCATTTTTCTCAAATTTGCCCATGATGTTTCCCATGTCATTTGTTTCTTCTAGGGCATTTTTATAGTATCTTGCACCATTTTACATGTTTTGATGCCAATGACACTGTGTTTTATATCATCTATAACTATATGCCAAAAATGCATTGCTTAAAATACATAAATTATATGGAAATTTTTATGGCAATACAGCTATAGTACGGTGGGGGAAAATAAAAGATTTGTGGGTCTTTGTTTTATACAAGACAGAAAGAGAATCAAAACAGAGATTTTCCAGGTTGAAACAAGGTACCTTTTAAATTTATTAACAACCCTATCAAGAGCATAGTCAATGCATAGTTGAGTCATTAGTAGCTTAACTAATAAGGTTTTATTTATTCATTTAGAAAATTCATATGTCACCTCTCCAGAGACCTGCTCAAGGCTGCATACAAAGCAAAAACAATATAATTCAAACTACATAAAACATTAAAGCATGAAACAAAAGCAATACAATTAAAACCACATTAAAACTGCATAAGAATTATCAAGATTAAAAGGTGTTCCAATTAAAAAACCATAAAACAAACCATTAAACCCTAAAATAAAACAAGCCAGGCACATTAAAACATCATAAAACAATATTCAGCAGCCTAAAACAACATCTATAAAACAATCCTCAGACTAGAAGTGGACAATAACAACAGCTAAAAAATGGGACTCCTCAGATGAAAGCCCCATAAAAAATGCACCCAAAGACCAGTAAGGCAAGCATCAAATAATATAGAAATAATAGAAGATGGTTAGACACCAGCTTCATAGCTATTTATGTAATGTGTATGTCACAAGGGAGGCTGCAAATTTTCCTATGAACATGTTTGACTGTCAAACCTCTGTTGTTCGAAGGTGTTGATCATGTGTGAGCTGATTAGTTGGTGTGTTCAGTTCAGCCAAACAACCATGAATGGCCACTTTACAAGTTTGCATCCAGTTTTCTCAAAAGTATGCAGGCACAAAGATGCTGCCAGTTCAAACCGATCAGTGGTCATTAGCACCCCTATTTAGATGAACACTGAAGGGTAGGATTTTACTGAAAGACAGCATTTACTGATTACTGATTTTAAATCATTTTTGAGTGATTCACAAGCCAATGTATTGTAGTGGCTAGAGTGCAGGACTAGGGGCTCAAATATCATGCTTTGCCATGGCAGCTTCAGGGTGATCTTGGGCCAGTCATATAACTCTCAGCCCAACCTATTACAGCCTAACCTTGTTCTGATGATGTAACAGAGAAAAGTGGGGTATGAATAAAGAAAACAAATCAATAAAGAATTGTCCATTGAGTGGAACAGGTACATAGCAAGGACAGGGGTAGAAGGATAGGGCCTGTTTGTGAGGGTGGGGTAAAAATCTAACAAATAAATACATAAATAAAACACATATGCATGAAAAACCGAGTGCATGGCACTGCATAGTTAGAGAGGAATACAGTGAAACAACTTACTGAACAACTATTAGCAAATTGTAGTATATAAGGAGCACCCTGATGGAGCAGTCCAGCGGTCCTTCTAGTTCAGCATCCTGTCTCACACAGTGGCCAGCTAGTTAGCCTGAAACAGGGTATAGAGGCTGAGGCCTTCCCCTGATATTGCTGGCTCCTAGCATTGGTATTCACAGATTTACTGCCTCTCGATGTGGAAGTTCTCTTTAGTCACCATGGCTAGTCATCACTGGTAGATCTAGACAGATCAATGAAGTATCAAACCAATTGTCAAAAAAATCAGATCTCTGTGCACAAATCACAAACAGGACGTGAGCTGAACACACAAGTTTTTGAGCAGCCTTTTATGTCACTTTTGATAATGTTGGGACTTTTAAAGTAAAATGATAACACCAGATTTGTTGGCAGACACTACTCATTTTTCAAATGTTATGTGCAGGCACACATGTAGAATTAAAATGGTGGTCATGGTGGAAGCAGAGTCAGTGTTGTATAGTGGTCAGAGTGTTAGACTAGCCTCTGAGAGACCTGAGTACAAATCCCTACTCTGCCATGAAGCTCATTGAATGACATGGGACCAGTCAGTTTGGTGTAGTGGTTAAGTGCGCAGACTCTAATCTGGGAGAACCGGGTTTGATTCCCCACTCGTCCAGTTGCAGCTGCTGGATGACCTTGGGCAAGCCACACTTCTGTCAGAGCTGTTCTTCAAAAGAGCAGTTCTTGAAGGAGCTCTCTCAGCCCCACCTACCTCACAGGGTGTCTGTTGTGGGGCGGGGGAGGGAAAGGAGATCGTAAGCCGCTCTGAGACCCCGAGTGAAGGGCAGGGTATAAATCCAATCTCCTCCTCCTCTTCTTCTTCCTCCTCCTCTTCTTCTTCTTCCTCTTCTTCTTCCTCAGCCTGAATTTCCTTGCTAAGTTGTAGGGATGAAACAGGGAAGAGAGATCCACGTACCCTGCTTGAGCTCTTTCAAAGAAGGGTGGGGTAAAAAATGTGTGAGACAGAAGATAGTCAATAACAGCAATGACATTGTGCTCCCCAGCTCTGAGTCACTAGTTTCTGTGCTACCCTTACTGGCTTATGAAATTATTGGCCCCGGTCATATGGGCAGGAAAATGCGGGGGGGGGGGAATAAAACAACCAATAATACATTATTAACAATAAAGTGCTTTAGCGTTCCAAGATGGTCTAAAGTTGTTAGTCCAGAGAATAGTCCGAGCTAGTCAGCTGGTCTTGCTTGTGACATTGTGCTCCCCAGCTCTGAGTCACTAGTTTCTGTGCTACCCTTACCAGCGTATGAAATTATTGGCCACGGTCACATGGGCAGGAAAATGCGGGGGGGGGGGAGCATGGCTGTTTGCCCCGGAGCAAAATAACGCACGGCTGCGCGTTAGAGGTCCCGTCGAGGTCCCGTGGTTAGGGGGGAGGTGCTGATCACAGGGCAATCCTGCGGCGTGGCAAAGAAGCGGCCTCTCTAGCAAAAGGCTCCTCAGGTTTAACCCCTTCCAGGGCTGCAGAGGAATGCAAACTGTGTCCTCTGTCAGGTCCCCTCCAGGAGGAGCTTCAGCCGGGCCGCCCTCCCGCCACACCCCCCCCTACACCTCCCCCTCTGCCGCCCGGTGCACAGAGTTCCTCTCGAGCAAGCCGAGCCAGGAGTGGGGGGGGTATGGAAAAGAGGAGGGGCTGTGTTGTTTGTTTTTAAACGAAGTGTGCGGATGCGCCGTTGGGTGCTTGTGCGCATCCCGTGGAAACTTGGGGAAAAAATCCTTTTAGCGACGGGACATGGGCGTGCGCCAGATGCCACGACTTACCACTGGAAACGCGATCAGGCGCCCGCTCTTGCCCTGCGGTTTCCGGAAACTAGTACCTCGGAGGTACTAGTTTTTTGCCCCGCATCTTCGGCGGGAAGCCTCGGGTTCGCCACGGGAGCTCTACGCTTCCCAGATGTGGCGCTGTGATCGCGCCCGGAAAATCCACCTTTCGTCCGTCTCTGTAGCGTGGCTAATGCTCCATGTAACCGCAGCCATTCTTCCACAACACACATCGCAAGGGTTGTTAACCTGCTGTGTATTCAGCATTCACATTTATGTGCTTTACAACTTTTAAAAGAGAGAAAAAGCCTCAGAGATTTCAATAGTACTGACCAGATGGTACACAATTTATCCTCGCCCTCTCCATCGAAGGGCTGGGTCCCTGAAATTGAATCAACATTGTAACATTTGCCATGGCCATTCAGTTAAAGCAATTCTATTAAAAAAAAAAAATTTATTGTGGGATGAGTCGTCATATGAGATACAAAGAATCAGGTTTGGTTTGGGTTTCAACAAAGCCATTTGTTTGACGTCAGTTTTTGTTTGAACACACTGAAAAATGGGACTTGCTCGTTCCCAGATGTGCCACATGCAGCCCACAAACACTGCTCTCCAAAGTTGATTTTTTTTCTAACTCATCTAAATAGATGAATGGCTGGCTTCAAGGTGAACCCCACTTGATTCATAGGTAGAGTGTCAGCTTTCATGAAAAGAACGGCAAGGGAGCTGGAGCACCAAGGATAATTGCTCTGCGATGGGTTTGGGAACTCAGCTCCAAACTCCCTTTCAAAATTCAAAAGTAAAGATTGAGCCCTGAGGGGAAAAGGGAAAAAAGTCACTGCATACTTGTCAGATAGCATAAGTTCATTTTCCCTCCACAAGCTTCAAGAGTGACCTCGAAAATACATGTGAACTTCTTTTGCAGGGAGCTTTTAGATCAAA